TCCAGTACCATCCAGGTATCCCAGTTACCCTGCTCACAGGGTCTAGATTATTTGTCAACGCTGCTTTCGAAGCCTCTTTAAAAAAATTGTGCTGTCGTCCTTCGCTTTAATTGTTTTTAGTGCAACTACTGTCAACTACAAGTCACAAGGGTAGTTCAGTAACAAAAGGTTATAGTTCTATAGATTACTGTTAACGTTTTCAGGAGAACTTTCACCTTACACCTTTTTAAAACCGATGGTCAAGCGAGTCTGTGATTACAAAAGCAGCATTCCAGAAATTTTGCCGTTGTTGGTTGTTTTTTTATGAGCATACCATGCAGCCCCACAAATACATTTTTTTTCAAGCGTGAAGAGCCTAGTATCACCACCCAAGTGGCCGCTGAAAGAATCGAAACAATTTTTCACGATGCACAAATAATTACAGTATGAGTGATGTGCAACTTACTAAGTTACTTGTCACGCCAGCAGTTAATATTCGAGTAGTAGACTTCCACACAATAACTAACGTAGTTCATAACCTATAAATAAGCTCCGTCTGATCAAAAATAATTCTGAAAACAAACATTTCTGCAATCTAAACCGTGAGGAACTCAGAGAGCGCTTCCTCTTCTGAATTTAAATTCGGGAAATTTGGTTACTGAGAAGTGTACAAATATTGTATTTTTTAAAAGGTAACGTTTACAAGTTGCAAGGAGCAGCCCAATACAATGTAAAGGCATTTAGTAATCTTATCTGTATCAAGAAAGAAAGCTAATCCTACCTTGTTTCTCCAAGCCTGTTAGCCTCATGATGGCGTGGAGCAACTTGCACAAATCTTCATTCGACTCGCTTAATAACTTTAATCTGTTTTTTATTTTAGCCAATTCCACTTTTGTTTCTCGGGCGGAAGACATAACTACTTCATTATGGTCTCCAGTGATGAAAACTTTACCATCCGAGACGGTCGTATTCACTCGAGTGGATGAGGAAATGTCAGGTGAAGCCACAAAGATCAGGAGCAGACAAAAACGAATCGATTTAGTAGTCAACATAGCGACAGAAAGAGGTCTGCTAATAAGACTGAGTCATCAGAGAAACCAAAGCAATTTTTTATGAAGCACGATGAATTTTGATAAATGTAAATAGAACAAGTTTATTTTTCTGGACGACGATGACGTTTGCTTTTTGCATTTTATAAGATACTTGTGACACGGTTGATTACCAGCCCATCAGTTGATAAACTGGACTTTCAGTGAGCAAGTAGGAGTGATTTAGACATCATTTATACAGTTGCACTTCAATTTATTGTCTCCCTTTCCTTATTTTTTCCCTTCTCCTTTTTTATTTTATTTTTGTTTTTTCAGTAGAGTTTTAGTTGAGTTTTTCCAGTTTTTCAGTTTGACGTTTTCTTTCACATGGTAATGTGTACAGAGACGGTTGTCTTCAATTACATAATTTTGTAGCACTACTTAACACACTACAAGAAGAGAAAAAAAAAGTAAAAGTTGCAGGAATTTGTTAAGTGTATACTCTGTTTCTGAAATGCCTTGTTCTGTCGGTATCGGAATTAAGCATTCCTTTCCTGTACGACAAGACGACGCATTAGACAATACAATACGAGCCAATGTAGGAGCAGTATTGTTGTTATCTTTCTCTCT